CATTTTGGAGTGTCGGGATTCCATACAATAACAAGATATCGTTACGGGTTCGCCCGTAATTTGGCCGTTTAGAATAATCACACGATTTTCATTGAAGGAATAAAATTCAGTAGAAAAGACAACGTAGTTTCAACAAATAAACATTAATTTAATATGACGGCAAGAATACAAGCAGTTGGTGATAGATTGGAAAGTAATATCTTTTTGTTTGTGTTAATAAAATTCTGAAATAAAATATAAATTGTCTTTGTGTACGTATGTGAGAAACAATGAAATATTGTTATGTGTGTTTGTATGAAAATGTCAACATGTGTGTGCATGATTCATAGTAAAGCGGATACAAGAGATAGTTAGAAATTGTTTCTTACTGTTGGCGGCGTTGCCGTAGTCTGAAGTTTACCGACGCTGTCGCTTTTAGTTAGCATGAGGTCGCGAAGATCATAAGCGAGATTTGCGTGATGTTTGGTGACAGCTGTGTGTATCCTGTTTGGGAACGGATTTCGTATGTTTTTATACTCTTTTTCGTAACAAAATCGGCTCCAGAATTAAATTATTTATTTATTCCTAATTGGCCCTAAAAAGCCACGTGGTATGTCTTCTACTACGCCCGCACGATATTTGGGCGGTATCTACCTAAAAATAATGATGACTCATGCAACAAACTTTTTGATTTGTATTCTATGATTTTATTGGTGTATTTTAAGACGTAAGTATTTTCTTGAGTGTGATTGGTTTAAATATTGTACCTGATATTTATGGTGGACACGACATCCTCATCTTTATTTCCATGTTCATATAAGTTCCGAACTTCTTCAGGTGATTGGAACTTCGAACTCAACTTTTTATTTCAGTCACTGTGGTAGATTGTTCTAGTTCCACATGCCATACCTCTTCCGGATGTCTTAGTTATCTCCCTTTAACTCAATTCTTCACGTTTTTGCTCAACACTGACGTACTGTACTCTTTGGGTCAAATCACTGGATCCAGCCAACGCTTTTATCTACTGGGGCATGTGTCCTTGAGGACATCAGTGTATGAATTTTTGGGACTTATAAATTTAATGTCTCAGTAATTTTTTTTTTTTTTACTAGAGCTCATATTGCAGTTTTGTTGTTATTATTGCTTTTCTCTAGCACTATTACTGATTCCTATATTGTACTCATTTCTACGCTTGGCCGGCTTAGGAGATTTTTTTGACCTGGCATATGTGCTGATTCCTTACGTCGTGAACATGGCAATAAAGATGAGTAAATAAAGATTGAGATTGTCGAAAGATCATGCAGATTTATTTCCTGTGAATTGTCTGTGCGACGAATGATGGTATTTTCTAAAGTGTCGTAGGGTACTTCCAGTGGCGATTCTTGAACTTTGAAAGGGGGGCCCGAGATTTTTCTGTGGAAGAGGGGGGCAAATTTAAGCAGCTTCTTTATTTTATACTACACCACTATCGTATTCACAACTTAGGAATGAGTTTTAGTATAAGTATGTTACTTCACTAAATTAAACAGAATAACTTTTCATTTATAGTAGTGGAGTTCTAATCTATTCTTGCCCTCTTTTCCACTCTCGAGCTGTTGGACCACAAGAGAGGTTAACTTCAAAACAAAATCAAAGGGTTAAATACTAACGCCAATACTAGCAGAACAGTGTAATTTGTATGCTCTAATTTTTTTCCTCTACAAAACTTAGAAAAGTGGGGGCCCAGCCGAGGAGCCAGCCAAAATTCGAGGGAGGAGGGCTAATTGACCCACTTCTCCCCACTCAACGTAGAATGGCCGCTGGGTGCTTCCTCTGGTATTTCTTCTAATAAATCAAACACTTCAGTTACCACCTATGGTGGAAGTTTTTCTACATCATAGGCGTATCGAGATCTCTGCCATGTGATTTTCTAAGCATTAAAAATTGCATGGAGCTGTTAAAACGACCTTTGTACATTGACTGGGTTGTATACAGGCAAATTGATAGCCAGTGTAGCCTCTACAGGGTTAGTAGCTGTATTTTTAGTTATCTTTTTTCGTTCGTTATAGAGTTTCTTGTCGGTAATGTTGTAAAAGTTGTTCATATTCTCGCCTTTATAGTGTTGCGGATGTGTGTTGGAGAGGAATAGAAGGTTTGAATTATCAGAAGGCTTAAAATTGTGTGTGTTCAATAATCTTCCATTCACAACAATTAATACATGACAGAGAATAATGATTCATAAACATCTTGTTTCAAAGCGTAAAAATTGAATTTATTAAGTATTTGATGTACATGCATGAACACTGAGTGAAAAGGTTAGATAGAGTTGTGTCTCTTAGATTAGGTAATATTTGTACCTAAGTTCATAAAGTGAAAGTAATTATTAAACTGTAGTTTAGAAGAGTAAAGTTTCTTTAGCATGTTTGGAATTGTGTATTGTACAAGTTGGTAAAAGTTCAGAAGAGATTTCAAAGTTTGTACTTGCGTGAATGTTGGTAATGGTCTTTAACGTCTGACCGCAAAGGTTAAGATGGGAGTTCTTGAAGATTACATCTTGGTAGCAAGGAGAAAGATGAATGAAAAGAAACACAAGGGATTTTACACGTGTTCTGTTTTTATAAATTTGTTGTACCACGTGACAGGCTCAGATGAGTTGGCGCCAAAATAGATCTGTCGCGTGGGGGTGATTTGATTGGTCGGAACTGACCAATCAGCAAGCTAGATTGAAGGTGATTAACCAATGAATTCTTGTTATATATTTTGTAAGATGGTGAAGGTGAAACTTATGACAGGAATAGTGCATTTCCTAGCAGGGGTTAACTAGCTTGTGGCGGAAGATTCCACAATAGTATCAATTTTCTTTTTTTTGTTAGTTACGGTGTGTGTGCTCGTTTATTACGTCGTTTGGTTACCAATTTCGTTACGGATCTGAATCAACCCACATCAAAGAAAAAGGTGAGAAAGGTGTTTAAATATAAAAATATAAAATACTAGCAGTAGAGCCCGGCGTTGCCCGGGGATGTAACAGTAAGAGATAGATCAAGTATCGACCATCATAAAGAATGAAAAATGAAATTGAGAAAGATTATTGTTTAAGGTTGACGGACACGCATGTCTTAATTAGTTTTTTTTTTTACGAATTGGTCAAACTCAAACAAAAACATGGTTTTCAATCGTTATGAGTCTACCGATTGAATAGAATTTTATTATAAACAATTGTCTTGTAAATGGAATGTTTAAAGCATTCTGAATGTAAAAATAAAGAAAAAGCGTGCAAGACAATAAGAAACACTACCTGCCAAAAAAAGTGAAGTTTTGTTGAAATCGGTTGAAAAATGTAGGAAATCTGATCCCATATATAAATGAACACACACACACACACACACGCACACAAACAAACTGGGTTTTCTAATAAGTATAACTCGATATGAGTTGCCCCCCTTTCATTCTCGCGACATATATTATATATTTTCAATCTAAAATGCTCTAATCGTTCGAAAACTTGCGTTACGTGACGCACGTGGTCGTCCATGTTGGCACTTGCTATTAGTAGATCATCGATGTAGGCAAATGAGTGGTGTAAACCTCGAAGGGCTTCATCGATTAACCTCTGGAAAGATTGTGCAGCGTTTCGGAGACCGAAAGGCATTCGTAAGAATTCGTAAAGACCAAAGGGTGTCGTTATAGCAGTCTTGTGCACATCTTCCTCGGTAACAGGAATCTGATAAAATGCTTTTCTCAGATCGATTTTTGTAAATAGTTTTGCTCTTTTGCACCTTGCAGAGAAATTGCAAAATCTGCCAAATTAGGTACAGGATACTTGTCAGGCACTGTTTGCGTGTTTAAACGTCGATAATCGCCGCAGGGTCTCCATGCCCCCCTCCTGCGTCTTAGGGACCATGTGGAGTGGAGATGCGAAAGGGCTAGACGAAGGCCGGATAATTCCTAAGTCTAACATGTGCTGAAATTCAGCGCGCGCTAGCTTATACTTCTCAGGACTTAACCTGCGCGGCTTGGAAAAGACTGACGAGCCAAATGTTTGAATTTTGTGTACGGTGTGGTGCTTCACCGTTTCGGTATATGTAAAAAGGCGGACAAGTGAAGGAAATTTGTCCAATATACCTTTGAGAGGGTTGTCTGCTGGCAAGGCGACGCATAGTTTAGTGGAGGTGAGGGTGGAAGTAACTCCATAATTCATAAGATTCGTCGTCTGGTCTAACAGTGAGTGTTTCGACATATCCACGATAAGTTTATAGTGAGCCCAAAAATCTGCGCCCAATATTGGGAACTTGACTTCGGCTACTGTAAATAACCATTGGAATGTTCTCCTCAGGCCTATGTCCAAAGTCATTGATACTTGACCGAAGGTCTGGATTTGTGATCCATTAGCAGCACGTAGGGTTACTGAAGATTTATTATTTGAAAAACTGGGACTAGGTGGAATAACACTAATTTGTGCACCTGTGTCCACAAGAAACATTTTGTCGGAGTTTCTATCTCTGACGTAGAATAGACGGTTGGTATTTCCTATCCCAACAGTAGACGCCGTCTTCATTCGCTGTTAGGAATGGCGTTTCCCGCCTTCTGGCATGACGTAGAATTCGGTTGTTGTTTGAAATTGCACGGTTTGGTGCATTTTCTCGCTGCCTGTCCAAATTTGCGATGGTACTAGCAATACACATCGTTTCTTCCCCGAGAATTAGATCGGGAACGTCGTTGGGACTTGTATAAGTTGTGAGCTGAGGATAATCGCTCTCTATACAAACGGTCTATGATTTTTTTTTTAAGCATTTCATCCTAAGCAAGGCGGGATTAAGAAGTCAGCTTTCACGTAATTTTACATTCAACTTTATCGTTTCAATTTATGATGTTTATTAAAAGCTGGTGGTTTGGTGGCTTTTATGCATTTAGCCAAATGTTCTTAATATCCTACGTCTTTTTTTCAATTTTTACATTCATCACGCCAGCATGAACTATTTTCTCGCAGGACAATTCATTTTTCTTGCAGCTCAATTCACTTTTTTTTTTTTTTTGCATTTCAGTTCACTTGTAGGTCAATTCACTTTCCTTGTAGGCCAATTCACTTTTCTTGCAGGTCAATTCACTTTTCTTGCAGCTCAAGTTACTTTTCTTCTAGGTCAATTCACTTTCCTTGTAGGTTAATTCATTTTTCTTGCAGCTCAATTCAGTTTTCTTCCAGCTCAAGCCACTTTTCTTGTAGGTCAATTCACTTTTCTTGCAGCTCAAGATACTTTTTTCTAGGTCAATTCACTTTTCTTGCAGGTCAATTCATTTTGCTTGTAGGTTAGTTCACTTTTCTTGCAGGTAAATTCACTTTTCTTGCAGGTCAATTCACTTTTCTTGTAGGTCAGTTCACTTTTCTTTCAGGTCAATTCACTTTTCTTCTAGGTCAATTCACTTTTCTTGTAGGTCAATTCGCTTTTCTTTCAGGTCAGTTCACTTTTCTTTCAGGTCAATTCACTTTGCTTGCAGGTCAATTCACTTTGCTTCCAGGCCAGTTCACTTTTCTTTCAGGTCAATTCACTTTGCTTGCAGGTCAATTCACTTTCCTTGTGCAGTCAATTCACTTTCCTTGTAGGTTAATTCATTTTTTTCTTCTAGGTTAATTCATTTTCTTCTACTTTTTTCTTGTGGCTCAGTTCCCTTTTCTTGCACCTCAAGTCACTTTTCTTCAAGGTCAATTCACTTTCCTTGTAGATCAATTCACTTTTCCTGCAGGTCAATTTACTTTGCTTGTATGTCAATTCACTATTAATGCAGGTCAATCCACTTTTCTTCTAGGTCAATTCACTTTTTTGTTTATTAGCTATTTTAATCAAATATATTTCATGGGATTCTGAAAGCCTGTGTTTTTCTTGTTTTGATCTTGCCAAAATATAGTCTCTTGAAAGATACATTGGATTAACCGGATTTCTTAAATACCAATATTGTTCCCTGTTGGAAATCCATTTTTCAAATGGTAGTGCTCACTTTGACTTTCACAGCTCATATAACAAAAACAAATGTTAATTACGGCTGATCCCACCCGCCAACTTCCGGAATATCCCTACAAAATACTAGAGTAATAAACATCTTTTCTGACCAATCAAAAAAGCCAATGTAGTTTTTGCAGGACCCGATGCTGGGTCACTATAAAGCCAATGCCGATTCCACCCACGAAGGCAGATCTGAACCAGCTGTTGTTGGTGACAAGTCTTCATGGTAGGGAAGCAGGCTTAACTAACTGCAACATTACACAACTGCCCAAGGCATCAATAACGACACCAAGACACTTGCATAAATGGCAATAACTTCAGCTAGCAATGAAATCAGCAGCTACAGAAACATCATCTCTCGACAACTATAATGCTATAATTTGTGGAATATTTCTTCGCACGAGTTTACCTCACTCGACTACTTTCAAGGGATATTCTTAAGCATTTATGTAAATAATAAAAGAAAAGTTGATTTTATGCTACTGGTGAACCAGCAAGCACTTGAGCTCTACTGCTACCATGTAGTGTCTATTGGATGGAGCGCTAACTTTAGCATCCTGTCGCAATTTTATGAAGTTTTATAGTAATATAGAAGCGCAGTACTAGATTGGCGGCAACGTCTCATTATTTTACAGTTGAAATAATGAGATGTAACCATAAGTTCTATGCTAACAGTTTATTTTCTAGAAATGTTCGCTTGTGGAACTCTCTTCTGGCGTCTTGCTTCCCAGTCAACTTTGATCTTCAAAAATTTAAATGCGATATCAATCATGATCTTCTGACTTCTTAATTTCAGTTCTTATTGTTCTCACTCCTTAATTTTTTTTTGTTTCTTACATTCTTTCACCCCCATGCATCTTAGTGACTTTATTGCCATGCTCAGGGTGAAAAGATAAAAAATATATATATATATATACACAAAAGTAAATACCCAAAGCAAATAACTACTGTAAGATTAAACCACCACCTCTGCCAGAGATCTTTTCATAATACTTGCTAGGTAGTGGCTTAAAAAAGGAAAGGACTGAAACCTTCTCTCTTTTTTGTCTCTTTCAGAGAGTGCCATTAGCACCCTCTTACTTCTTTAAATAATAAATTTCCTTCCTAATCCTTTATTTAAAGTAGTATGGAATGTTAACATCTTGATTATGTCATTATTTTCTCTTCTAACTTGAATTGTGAAGGATAAGGTTTTTAGATATGTAATCAATCGAAAATTATTGAAATTTAATTATAGAAAAAAGAAAGTTGGTTTGAGAGACGCCAATCCCCTTCAGTTGAAGCCAAAGTCTTAATGACAATTTTCAATTTGTTAATGATGATGATAATGAGGAGGAGTGGTAGGAAGAACATGATGATGATGATGATGAAGAGGAGTAAAGAGGTGATGATGAGAAGAGAAAACAAGAGGATGAGGAAGGAGGAGGAGGAAGAAGAACATAATGTTGAGGATGATGATGATGATGAAGAGGAGGAGTAAAGAGATAAGAAGAGAAAACATGAGGATGAGGAAGGAGGAGGAGGAGGATGAAGAACATAATGTTGATGAAGATGATGATGAAGAGGAGGAGAAAAGAGATGATGATGAGAAAACATGAGGAAAGAGGAAGAGGAGGAGAAGGAAAAACATAATGTTGAGGATGTTGATGATGATGATGAAGAGTTGCAAAGAGACGATGATGCGAAGAGAAAACATGACGAGGGGGAAGGAGGAGGAGGAAGAACATAATGTTGAGGATGATGATGATGATAAGAGAGAGAGTAAAGAGACAATGATGAGAAGAGAAAACATGAGGACAAGGAGGAGGAGGAAGGAGAATGTAATGATGATGATGATGATGATAATGATGGGAAATATTGATAAAGACCTTAATTTCCTGTAAAAGATCAACGGAGTATTTTTTTATATTGCTATTTGCTATTTTATTTTGGTGTTGAGATGATTTTTTTCTCCTTTGCTTGTTTCTCCAATCCAGCAAATTTTATGAAATAAAATGAGAACAAAAATAAGATATAGAAACTGGATAAAATGTCTCGAATAACTTTTCAATCTCAAAAACAAACACACCCACTTCTTTTATATATATATATATATATATATATATATATATATATATATATATATATATATATATATATATATATATATATGTGTGTGTGTATATATTTACATACGCATATATATATATATATATACCCACACAATTACATACATGTATACAGACTTATATATATATATATATATATATATATATATATATATGCACACATGTGTGTGTGTGTGTGTGTGTGTGTGTTATCTGAAGATTGCATGAGGCATGAAACTCCGAGTCATACTGTTAATATATACTTAATAACTGTTATTTTGTATTGAGTACTGTTTTACTTACACCTAAGGATATATATATATATATATATATATATATATATATATATATATAGTTAAATTCCCAGATGAATTCTGTGGACAAGACAGATTGGTATCAAATGACAATTGGAAAAAAGAAAAAAGGCTTAGACACAAGCGTCTATCTTTTTAATTTTGAATTTTAATGTAACTATAACAACAAAAACATTTCGATTTCATTTTTGCCTTGAAAAAGTCGGAAGACGAAACGCGTCGGCAAAATGTAGGATTTTTTCCAATTGTCATTTGATACCATATATATATATATATATATATATTTGTATGTGGACACTTGCATGTACATTTATTTATATTTATTTACTTGATTATATATATATATATATATATATATATATATATATATTAATATTGAGTTACTTTCCACTTTTCTTTGCACTGTGTCCTGTTATCAACTAAGATCTGTCTCATGTTAATAATAGATGAACATATGACAAAAAAATAATATTAACATTAGACACACACATGCACACACACACACGCATGCACACACACACACATGCACACACACATGCACACACACACACACACACATGCACACAAGGGAATGCTGAAAATTTCACTATGACCAAAATTATTAATAATGATCTTAGGAAATGAGACAGGCTGAGAATTTTTCACTATATCCTTGTGTAATGCATATAAGACTGTCATTTCTACGGAGTAAATAAATATGTTTCACAATGTGATGACATGGAGCCAATGTCAAGTCCTTGAAGTTAACAATGCTTTGCATTTTTGAAAAAAAAAAGAGAAGAAAAACGCCGAGACTCCATTGTGATTGAAAAGCACAAATGGACAGATAGAAAGCCCAAACTATTGTACAGCTTCAGAATTCAAGGAGAGAGAAAGCAAAATTTTTTTGTAAATCTGTGTCGAGTCTTGTCAAGTCAATGGCAATATAACATCTGAAGAAAAAAATATGCTACTTCTGTTCCATATTCTCTTTAGCAAAGAATCTTTACCTACTGACACTCCATCCTTTTTGCCAACCTCTCGCTCTCACATTACTAAATTTAGATCCTTTAAAACTAAGCCTGCACAAAATATGGCCCGTGAGCTGCATATATCTCTTGAAACTACCCAGAGTGGCCTGCACAGTATTTTCAAAATTGTCAATTTTTTGTGCTCATCACATATGAAAAATTTTGTTTTGTGGAGGCATAATTTCATTCAGCCAATATTTCCATGTTTTTGTTTCTAATTAATCCTTTTAATTTTCCGGAGAAAAAGAAAGAATTTTCTGGGCATCCCTCCCTCTCTCTATGTCTGTTTCTATCTCATTCATACTCAATAACTTTATACTTTAATTCTATTCTTGCAGCCCACAGCTAATTTTCTGTCACCAATGTGGCCGTTCATATTTTTTAAGTTGTGTTGGCCTGGGGTAGAGTACAAAAAGAGTAGAGGAGTGAAAACATCCCAGCCAAACTGTAACAATTTGGACCTGGTTATCACAGCATTACCAAGATTAAATATTACACCCAGTCTCTTAACTGAACCTAGATACTTTTCATTGTCTGCTGCTCTCAGTCAGTCTAATTGAGAGCAGTACTTGTTTGAATCAATCATTTAATTCTCCAAAAAGATCTCAAAGTAGTGAACTCTCTTCCAATCCTAATATATGTACAGTATCCTCTTCTTTGAATGATGGTTAATATTTATTTTGATTAACTATAACAAACATTGTTGTAAAATATTGTTTAAAAAATGGGAAATATAAAATATTTAGTCCAGAGGTTTTTAAACTTATATGGAGGCTACACATCAAAGCAACTAACATAACCAAGTTGGTGCAAATGACTTTGGGTATTCAGGGCATGTTGTCTGTCACCTGCATTGTATAATGCTTAATTGTTCTCAAAATGATTCAATAGTTAACAATCTCAACTGGGTTACTCAATATAGCAAGTTCATCCCAGATCTCAAAGTGGAACTCGTATATATGATCCATTGCTAAAGACTGATTTGTTTAATGGCATATCAACTCCTTGTGGGTCATTTAATGGCAAAATTTATTTTTCTTGGGAGCTTTGAAGATATGTTATTCTGCTTTCACAATTGAATACATGGTAGATGATACTCAGATTTTGTGCATGTACATGTTTGTGTAGATATGATTATTACAGGTGATGATATGTGTTTTATGCTCTAGTTTTGTTGAAGTTATATTTTGGAATACAGTTTGATTTAAGAAATTGTCGGATATTATATGTCTTAATGTCATGAAAGAGTTCTTTCATGTTGGTTTTGTCGATGATTTTGTTTAGTTGCATATCAACCTCTATAGGTTACTTAATGCTGGAATCTAAATATTTTGAACACAATTTTATGGCTTCAACTACAGATAAACTG